ACATAACGAAAGATGGATTGATCAACAGCATTATACTCACTTGCATCTCCGTCTGTCAATATAAGGTGCACTCGTTTTAGATTTCCAACACCAAGCATAGCTGGCAGTGCCTGTAAGAATATCCATCAGTAGAAAGCTTGTGACTCGTTTGGCATGAAAACATGGATGACCAAAAAAGCCTTGCCGGCACTATCCCTCACGCAAATAAGCAGAAGGGGGCGTCCTTCATTATTGGTCTTGTGGGTGGCATCAATGAACAATACTTCCGGGTAGCAAAGAAACTGACGGTAGTTATTCTCATCCATCCATGCGGCACCAAGCAGGGGTGCGGATGGTGCGAAGAAGGGCCCCAAGGAATTGGGCGATGGGTGTAGCCGTGGTGGTGGACTGGAACCATTCTTGGACTTCTTGGAGTAGGAGCTGCCACTGGGTCTTGGCCCGGTCGGAAGGGCAGCGGGGGACGTGTAGGTGGTCTTCCTCCAGGCCGCACAAGGGGCATCGGTTCTCAGAGTCAAGGCCCCATCGTTTACCAAACTTGCCGACACCGCACATCCCAACGGTATGTTTTGTGATGAAGCGCTGTTCGGCGGGCTTCAGAGACTTCATCGCTTGGTGCACTGTCGGCCAGTCCACCGATCGGAAGTGTTTGGGAGCAAGGCGGCCTTTAGACTGCACAGGGTTTGGAGAAGAACTTGGGCAATGTTCCGTTGTTCGCACCAAGACATCTGTCGCCATGTCTTGGTTTGGTCAGCATGGCCGCCCACGTGTTGTTTGGCCCAGGATATGTTGGAAACTCGGCGGGCCTAAGTAATTTGTACGAAAAAATATAAAAAATCGTCATATACGAAGAACATATAAAGTACTTTCGTCCAGAAACACGTTACGTTTTTCCGCAGTACGTATTACACATACGTGCAGTTTCAAATTCAAAACGTATTTCAGACGAGTGACCGGTTTTTTTGACGTTTGTCCTGACAATTTTCCGGTCTTTTTTTTACGTGTGTCCTGACACTTGACAAGTTTCTGACGAGTTTCCGACGAGTTTCCGACGTGTTTCTCGATGATTTCACAATGCCGTCGTTTCTCAAATTCAAACTTTGCAATTCAAAAACGAAACAATGCACCGGTCAACCAACGCAACCAGCACATCATTTTTAACATCAACAACCAGCCCTTGCAATGTCAAAGTCGAAGACGAAAAGGAGATCCAAGCCAAAGCTACTGAAGGATGAGGAATGGGGAGAATTCTTTCCGAGGCATGAGAGAACGTACATTCAAGTGACCAAGGAAATGAGAAGGAAGGATCCTCTTCTATTGTATCTCTATTGGGTTCCACATTTTGGCAAGGAGAGTCCTATTGGGGTGTATCAACCTCCAGAGACTTATGTGGAGAAAAGGAAGAGAATTCGGGAGAAACATGCAAAACAGAAAGAGAGATTACTCGAACGGACTACAATTGCGGAGATCAACGCTGGTGAACAAGCCACCCTTATCCATGACTTTTTTTTTGCCAAAGAAAAAGACCTAATTGAATAGAAACATAACTTTTAATAGCATCGACGTTCTATTTATTTATTTTGTCTGTTTTGATGTTTCGCATTTAGCTGTGGACTACATTATCTCGTAGTAGAGGGCAAAGCATCTATGATCCTCAGTCTGAGAGCATATTTCCTTCTTTGAAACTGTGCAAGTTCGGTGCATTTGTGCCAGCAAATGTCCTTCGGTCAGATTCTTGTCTGCTGCTCTATTATTCTGAAGGGAAAGGGTCCAGCCAACTACTATAACAATACACTATTTAAGATGCCGGATGTGCAACATAACAAGACAACCGGTAATGAATTGCTTGGAATTCATTCCAACACCCATTTGCTCCGGGTCCCTTCAACACTCCACATGTTTTGCTCACCACCGCCAACAACACTCCACAACAAAACGATGGAACCAATTAGTAGCAGGAAGGAAATCTTGGGTCTCTTTTGTTCCAAGTATGGTGTTAATGTTGAAAATGTTGGAAACGAGATCCTCTATCCTCCTCCAAGTCAACATAATGCTTCCAAAAATGACAGCGCCAACGTGAAAATCCCCAATTTGATTGACGCCCAGGCTGCAGTTGAATGCATTACCGTGAATCGCTATGCTATGATGGCAGATGAAGACACAAAGGGTTGTTTCAGGTTGCATAAGCTAGATACTGGGCGGGAGGAGACACCAGTGACGACCAAAAACATCGCTGTTGCGTCTTCATATGGCACAATTTCTAGCATCCTGTTGGCGATGGTGTCACAAGCCTTGGTTATTCACAAAGATGAGAAGGGAGCATTTTCATTTCAGATTGGAGCACAGCCCAATTGGAATGCCCGAGGAATAGACCGTAATGCGATATCTGGGATGTTTGACGAGCACAAGCACAAAAGTTTGCTGTCTTTCTATTTGGGAAATCAAGGAACAAAGGAACGAGAGGACCACAAATTCGCTCTGGTGCCATATGCAACCAAAGGAGAATTCGAAGAGAAAGAGGCCCTGGTAATGCCATGGGGTGACAAGTTAGCCTCTCGAGGATGGAAGGAGTGCGATGCTGAGTCCTATGCATTAATGGCCAAACTTTATACTGATGATGCTTCGAAATTTAAAAACATGGGCGAACTTGATGAAGCTGGGGTTGCCATGTCATTGTCTGAAATCCTTAATGGAATATCAGAAAAGTATAAAGGCCTCACCACCAAAGAAAGTATCCAAAAATTTGTTGCCAAGCTGTTGGAACTTTCGCCAATTGATCATTGGTCTACTGGAGCACGGAATTAGGAGTGCATTCATGATCTTGTTTTCATAGCAAAGGTCCTTTGGGTTGGTTTGGAATTGCCGTCTTTTGCAGCAATTGGAGGCCGGCACCGGCTTTTCACATTGTGTCATCTTCTTCTTGGTTGGAAAGCCACCACCAATGGCAGCACACACGAATGCTTAGAAGCAAAACTTCAAAATACTCTAATTTGGTACCAAGCTCCAATACAAATTGTGGTGGGAAGAGATGAAGGCCTTTTGCGCAGTTTCAGTCTCCAACTACAGGACCAAACTAAGCATACAATCCCCATAAATCTTGGTAAC